CAGGTCTGATTTTTTTTTTTTTAAGGAGGCTCCAGGTCCAACGTGGGCTTGAACTGGTGACCCTGAGATCAAGCATTACATGCTTTACCAAATGAGCCAGCCATGTGCCCCATGGGATCTGATTTTTAAACCTTGTGAATTTGTATGTCATCTTCATTTAGCTCAGGAGGGCCCAACAAGTAAGTGGGAGAGCCAGATTTTTGAACCCAGCTCTGAGTCTGAAACACCCACTCTTCCCACCTCAGGATAGCACCTCCCTGAAAATTACCCAACATTGTTGGGGCAATGGGGTGAGGCGTGCAGAATGGCTGAACTTCATAAATTGTTACCAAAACATGAATGAACAATGAGGTGTTTTCATTGGATAGTTCAAGGAAGGGGGCATTCCAGGACTGAGAAAGACTATATCCTAAAATCAGGTGGTGATTCTAGTCTATGCTTATGTATTACCACTGCTGTTTTCTTTTAATATCTATCTATCTATCTATCTATCTATCTATCTATCTATCTATCTATCTATCTATCTATCTTTTATTTATTTGACAGAGAGAGACACAGCGAGAAAGGGAACACAAGCAGGGGGAGTGGGAGAGGGAGAAGCAGGCTTCCCGCTGAGCAGGGAGCCTGATGCAGGGCTCGATCCCAGGACCCTGAGATCATGACCTGAGCCGAAGGCAGACGTTTGAGGACTGAGCCACCCAGGCGCCCCAACCTCTGTTCTTTTTCTTTTTCTTTTTTAAGGGAGAGAGAATTTTATTTTATTTTATTTTTTTAAGATTCTACTTATTTGACAGAGACACAGCGAGAGAGGGAACACAAAGCAGGGGGAGTGGGAGAGGGAGAAGCAGGCTCCCCGCTGAGCAGGGAGCCCGACGCGGGACTCCATCCCAGGACCCCGGGACCATGACGTGAGCCGAAGGCAGACGCTTAGCGACTGAGCCACCCAGTCACCCACTGCTGTTATTTTTTACCCAATTTGGATTCTTGCTCCAAGCTAGCGATTCTCTACTTTGCACGTAAGAATCACCTGAGGAGGGGCGCCTGGGTGGCTCAGTCGTTAAGCGTCTGCCTTCGGCTCACGTCATGGTCCCGGGGTCCCGGGATCGAGCCCCGCGTCGGGCTCCCTGCTCAGCGGGGAGCCTGCTTCTCCCTCTCCCACTCCCCCTGCTTGTGTTCCCTCTCACTGTCTCTCTCTGTCAAATAAATAAATAAATAAAATCTTAAAAAAAAAAATCACCCGAGGAGCATTTTACAAAATCTTGATGCGCGGGGCTGCTCTGCGAGACTCCGACTTAATTGGTTGGGGGTGGGACCTGGGCATGGATAATTTTTACCAGCCCCCCAGGTGATTCTAATGTGCAGCCAGGGTTGAGAAGCAATCTTCTAAGACAGCCGAGGTGTAGGGATGCACAGGGAAGAGGCTGGTTTGTGGAAGAGCTTTACCTCTTTTGAGGGTTTAATGGTAACAAGCTTGCTAATGATGTTTACCATGTAAGAAAGGAGGCCAGATGTCTGGATTAGCTGGATAACTAACTGATTTCCTTGCAAGACATGTTAACATTTAGTATTGACAGGATGTAATCCTAGAATCTCTCAGAAGGGCTGTAAGGAAATCTCTCAGTCATCTAATATACTCTGCTGGATTAGATGAAAGTTGGAGAGTGAGAAATATTTATATAGATTAGCAATATTTAAAAACATTTTTTTTAAAGAAGAGGAAAAACAATGGGCAACCAGAATAGCAGAAAGACTAGATTTCCCCTCAGGGGAAAAAGCAATCCCTGCTATTCCAGAAGAAATCCAACCTCTTCTCTGAGGGTTTCCTGGCAGGATGACTGGATGTGCCTGCTGGTGGCAACAGCTTTTTCCATGGAGGAAGCTGGGCCAACACAGATATAACCCAGATGAGTAGGGAATCTAGTGTATAGTTAGCTGGCTCTTCGATGACCCTAAATCCCTGTGCATTAGAACAAACTCTCTTCCTGGCTTCCCACTGCCTTCTCCTTTCCCAAGTGGTCTCGGTCTCGAGTCTCAGTCTCGAGCGCAAGGCCTGGTTTTACTGACGGCTCTCAGCCTCTCCCTTAGGGAAGGGAGCGCATGTGTTCACTTTTTCCAGTGGTCTTCTCAGTCTGATTTAATGGATATACCAGGACTGATGACACATCAGCATGGCATCTTTCTTTTGCTTCTTGGGTAATTTTCCTATTAACAGCTGTCCCAGGCAAAGGAGAGGGAGAGGATGCGGTGGGGGTGGGGGGAGGGAAGAGGGTGGCTTCCTAGGTGAAGGACACACCCTGGATTTTACAGGGTTAATCAGTGGGAAGGAGCTTTGCACCTGCTCAGACTTGATCTGGAACTCTCGACAGAGTGGAAGACAGTGTTTGGATCCCCGCTCCCTACCATGGAGTATCAACTATCCTGGATGCCCACAGCCTGCCAGGCCTAAATGCCTACCATGCTGATTGAGACTCTACATCTAGATTCTCCTCAGCCCTTGCAACGGGCGAACAATTCTTTAACCGTTAAGCAGGAAACTTGAACTATCCAGGCATCCTTTAACCCAGTTATATAGTTCCTGATCCACCTCTCTCCCATTGAATGCTCAAATAATCAGACACAGTGAAGCACAGTACTAGAAGTACTGTGGCAGGCAAAAGAAAATGAAGGGGACAGTGTAGACACAAACAAAAGACTTTTTCCACACCTCTCCCACCCCTTCTCTAGGGATTAACATGGAGACCCTCCTCTCCTCAGTGCCTGCACCTCCCTTTACACCCAGGACCCCAGAAAGGGGAGGAGAGGATGGGTAGGACTGCTATCTATCTCAACAAATTTTGAGTCATTAAAAGCCACCAAATGAGTTTAAGCTTTCCAAGTGATGTGACAGTGTCACATGTTAGCTCCCCAGTGTGGCCTTCAACCTACGGCTGCCATTTCATTTCAGTGAATATTTACCTCATTTGACTTCACATTAGTCAGTTTGGTGTCCACTGTAAGACTTTTTTTTTGTTTGTTTTTTAAATTTTTTGCTTGTTTTTAAGATTATTTATTTATGAGAGAGAGTGCATGAGTGGGGAGGAGGTGCAAAGGGAGAGAGAGAAGCAGACTCCCTGCTGAGTGGGGAGCCCAATGCAGGGCTCCATCGCAGGACCCTGGGATCATGACCTGAGCCGAAGGCAGACGCTTAACCGACTGAGCCACCCAGGCGCCCCAGGACTTTCTTTCTTATCCCAGGCACCTGGTACCCTGCTATGCAGCTCAAAAGGAACTTGGAAAATACAAGTGGACCTGTCTAAAACATCAGTTTTGTTGGTGCTAAAGTTTCCCCTAGATTAGAGGCTCGCCCAGTTTTTTGGGTTTTTTTTTTTAAACTGTGTCAAGGTTTAAATTTGTTCTGTATTTGCTGGGTCAAACAAACGACACTCTCCTATTTTCTCCAAAGTCTTGTATTTAAGCCCCGCAACTTTAGTCTAGCTTTGGTATCTTTCAGTTCTATGGTTTTTATACATTCTTCTCAACCCCGTTGGTATATTTTTAGAGTTAACAAAGCACACCTCAATTTCTCCTCTTTTCTTATCCAACAGGAGTATTGCCCTTCATGGTCTTATTAATTCAGGGTCCGAATGGTCTCCCATTTCCTTGGTAACATGCCATATCCCTCAAAACCACATCTCTTCCACATATTAATTTCTGCTTTTAGCAGGAACTTCTAATCACAGACCTGCCTGCTGGAGTTCTCCTTCAACTATTCAGTATTTATTGTCTACTTTGCTCCTGGCACTGTTCCAGGTTTTGAGGACTCAACAGTTAATGCACAGAATTCCAGTCCTCATGGAGTTTATATTCTAGCATTTACTAGAAGCCAAATAGTAAAACGAGTAAGTAAAACATGTGCTCTCTGAATCAGTCTTTGTGTTTTTTTTAAAGCTTTTATTTATTTATTTAACAGAGATAGAGAGAGAGTGTAAGTAGGTAGAGTGGCAGACAGAGGGAGAGGGAGTGGGAGAAGCAGGCTCCCCACTGAGCAGGGAGCCCAATGCGGGGCTCGATCCCAGGACCCTGGTATCATGACCTGAGCCGAAGGCAGCTGCTTAACCGACCGAGCCACCCAGGCGCCCCCTGAATCAGTCTTTGAAATGCACAACTACCTTGCAGTTTGTTAAGGATTCAATGACCAGACGCTGGTGCACTTTCTGTATGAATTTTCAAAGTGCTTTATAATCTGTGAACCACCCCAAATTAAGCCTCCCAACTCTCCAAACACGTGAGGACTGCATGTTATCTGAAGAGTTGGCAGTTTGTCTTGTCCTTAGTTGTACCAGGACCAGTGATTTCACCCACTAGATAAACGAGGATCTTCCTGGGAGTCAAGAATTTGAGTTGATGTCTCTTTTTCCCACAGCTGGGAACAAAGTACTATGAACTTCAACTTAGTGATTGCCTAAAGGTGGTCTTGGGATCAACTGTGTTAAAACTACGCGAGTCATTACTAAGCAGGCAGGTTATCAGGCCGCCACCCCAGGGTTAAGTGAATCGCGATCTCTGGAGTGAGGCCTCAGAATTTGCAGGTTTAACAAGCTCCCCCAAGAGAGGCTGGGGATAATAAAGCAATGTTCGAAAATCACAAAGACGTTGGCTAGGTGAGACTGGCCAGCACCTGAAATCGAGGGAAGTTCCTGAAAGGCAAGACTAAACTCGGTGGTAGTCTGGGCGGGGGTTGGGACGGTACTAGACGGGGAAGGGTAGCTCTACGGGATGTTCCTATCACGAGAAAACTCAATTATGCCACATCCCCCCACACCGCCAATGTCCCACCACTGTGGTGGCAACCCGACCGCTGGGCCATTCCCGCGACGTAACCGTCCCTGACTGGCGCGAGCCACGGCCCGCACAGACCGGAAGCGGCGACAGCGGCTTCCGCTGCCAGCACCCAATATGGCGGCTCGAGCGTCGCCACCGCGGGAAATACTCTGGGTCCCGCCTCGGCCCCCTCAGGTCTTACTGGGCTTTTGCAAGTCACCGTGGGAACCTTCGGGGCGGGGAAGAACTCCGCGCTCCGGCAGCTATACCACCTCTCACCCCCAGCCCTAATCCCCGAGCTGGAAAATGCACTGGTAGCGCTTAGCTTGCACACTTTACTCCGCGCCCCGCCTGAAATACCTTGGGCGACCGACGCACCGCGGAGGGGCCAGAATGCCGGGCCGTAGGGCCTTCGCCCCACTTACTGGTGAGCCCACGCCGCGGGGCGGGTCTATGCGCCCACTGGGCTGTGGGCCATGTCAGTCTTGGGAAATCGGGAGAGGGAGGAGGAGGCACACTCAGCCATTGGGCTCTTTCGGCTGTCAATCAAAATGACATCCGGCGACGGCCGCAGTTTCGGCTCGTTGATTGGAGAAACGTGGTCCTAGGAAGGACGCGGAGGGCGGGCTTCCGAATGAGGTGGGAGGTGGAAGGAGGGGGCGGGGAGGGAAGCGGAGGCTGGGGAGCTCTAGGCCGGCCGGCGGTGGCGGCGGCAAGGCCGGGACTCGGGCTGAGGGCCTGCTGTGGCGGCAGCGGCGGACGCCGAGCTCTGCAGCGGGTATCCGGCATGTTCCTTTCCCCGACGTGGGGGGTGGTGGTGGGCGCAGCGTCGCGGGAACGAGGCTTGTGGGGTGAAGGGCGGCGGGGTGGAGTCCAGGGGCAGGAGGCTGGAGGCGGGAACGGGCGGGCGAGCGGGGTTCGCGTCGGGCCCGAGCCCGAGCCTGGGCTTGGCAGGGAGGGGCCGCGAGGCCGTGGAGAAAGCTAGCTCCGGGGTGGGTTGGACTGGGGAGGGCTGAGGGCGCGAGAAGGCGTGGTGTGAGGCCCAGGCCTGAAGCGGGGTGGGGCCATCGGGACGGAGGGCGGGGTGGGGTTTGGCTGTGAGGGTGGGTCAAGGCCGCCGAGTCGCACTTGTTCGCCGTTGCCCCAGAAGGCTAGAAGCCGAGGCGCCGACAGCGGGCATGGCGACTTGGTCCCGGCCGGACTCGGGTATCCGGGGCGGGGTGGGACCGGGCTCAGACCAGAGGCCTCTGGCCTTACTCCGTCTTTAAGGGGCCTTGTCCGGTTTCTGGAACTTAAATGTCTCTTGGGAGGTTTTAGTAATAAATTGGCGTGAGAACGGGAGGGTAGTGTAAGCAGGAATTCTGAGTCGCAGTTGTGTTTACTTTAACCAAATAAGGTGTGTGTGTGTGTGTGTGTGTGTCCGTCCGTCCGTCCGTCTGTGTGTCACTCTTCCCCTTTAGGACGAAGTTGGTAGGTGGGTCACAACAGTGAAGAGGAGAGTTATGTTTTGGTCTGGGAGGTTAATGGAAGCTCAAAAGTAGAGACCAGAAACTGAAAGGCAGGTTTACTCCCTCCCCAGTTGGCTATCTAGGTTGAGAACTTGGCCTTATCCTTCTGCTTAGGCTCAGAAGGTCATATGAATGAAAATAAAACCTGCGTATTGCAAATTCTGGGTCGAATAATCCTCCTGCTTCAGTGCTCCCCGCCCCCCCCCAAGCCCTCTCAGCCCTCCTTCCCCCCTTTAATGTGAGAGATAGGAAGGGGAAATCATATTTTAAAGTTGGGAAAACAAAAGGCATTATTGTTTCGTGAGGTGGTGTCCTGAACGTGTCCTCATATCCTTTTACACCCTTCTCCCATTAATAGTTTCTCCCTTCTCTTTAAAATGGGAAAGGACAGGGATTGTAGGCAGTTTTCTCTTGAGAGATGGAGGATACAACTTTTCTTTAAGTTAGGAAATGGGCTTCTCATGCTAAAAATAGAAGCTGGGTAGTGTGTGGATGGGGTGGGGGAGGGTTAGTAAATCAGACAACATGTAAAATATTTTGGATGCCCCGGGCATTATCTGCTTATCCAAAACAAGCTACCTTTTAGGGTATTACAAATTTGGTATCCAGAAACAGGGATCCTTTGTGAGCAATATTTTCCTTTCGTAGTTGTTCTGCCTATAACAGATTTTTGGTTTTTATTTCTTTAGGAGTAAAATAATTGACTTAGTTTTCAATAAAATATGAAAGTGGAATTTGAACGTCTTTCCTGCCTTCTGCCTTGATCATGGTGTGAAAATTCTGGAATCTTATCCTGTTGCTCTTGTGATTCCCATTTCAGGTTTCTCTGGAAACCCCCCTGGTAAGTGTGGAGGAGGCGGGACACTCTGACCCAAGACAAAAGGCTTGTAGCTCCAGCCAAAGAAAATAAACCTTAGGGAGAAGGAAAAAAAAAACAAAAACAAAAAACAAAACCAACCCATCAGCTGTTCCTGAGAACAGTCTGCAGTGGAAACTACAGAGAGGACAACTAATGTGAGTGAGGAAGTGACTGTATGTGGACTGTGGAGACAGTAAGTCACGTGGGCCCTGAGGGCCTGGACTGGGTTAGCAACAGTTGTACGTGCTGAGGTGAGGTGCTGAGAAGGGAAAAGTGAATGTGGTCTGGAGAGTGGCCTTGGCTTCACAGGGTGTGCTTTCCTCTGAGGCCATCCGGGAGCTCAGCCCCTGTGTTCTGCCAGGGTGGGATACAGGGTTTGGCACTGAGGAGGGTAACTTGCTGGCTGGAGCAGCAGAGCAGTGGCCTTGATTTGTCTTTTGGAAGATTTAAAAACCAAAAAGCATAAACATTCTGGTCCTTCAGCAATGCTTTCTCTGAAGAAATACTTAACGGAAGGACTCCTCCAGTTCACCATTCTGCTGAGTTTGATTGGGGTGCGGGTGGACGTGGATACTTACCTGACCTCACAGCTTCCCCCGCTCCGGGAGATCATTCTGGGGCCCAGTTCTGCCTATACTCAGACCCAGTTCCACAACCTGAGGAATACCTTGGATGGCTATGGTATCCACCCCAAGAGCATAGACCTGGACAATTACTTCACTGCCCGGCGGCTCCTCAGTCAGGTGAGGGCCCTGGACAGGTTCCAGGTGCCGACCACTGAGGTAAACGCCTGGCTGGTCCACCGGGATCCAGAGGGGTCTGTCTCTGGCAGCCAGCCCAGCTCAGGCCTCACCCTCGAGAGTTCCAGTGGCCTCCAGGATGTGACAGGCCCAGACAACGGGGTGCGAGAAAGCGAAACGGAGCAGGGATTCAGTGAAGATTTGGAGGATTTGGGAGCTGTAGCCCCTCCAGTCAGTGGAGACCTAACCAAAGAGGTTAGTGACCACACGTCGGGGTGGGTGAGAAGGGCTTGGGGTTTCGGGGGGGCAGGGGCTGGTTCTGGTCCTGGTCCTGAAGGGGCGAGGTCATAGTACTAACTCCTGTAAAGAACTAGAGTGGTTTAGGGGGTGGGGGTCTCAGGCATTGTTCTTTGACAGGAATGAGCTGAATTGTCTGACCAGGATTGGGGCTGGGAGCATTTCCTTGCGTTGAACCATTGACCCACCTCTAAATGTACCGTCAGGGCAGTGGGAGGTTCCTAGAACATGCCAGCATGTTTACTGCTTGGATTTCAACGTGACTGCTGGAGGCCCCAGAGTGGGGGAGGGAGTGGTGTTGTGATGGGCTTCGGTGCGGTGTGTATTTGTTGCTAAGACACAAATACTTTGTGGACTCTTGCCTTGTACCTCCCCCCACGTCAAAACACACATGCATATCCTGAAGTTCTCCTCCTTTGTGGTCGGGCCTGTTGTTGTAAGGTCCTTGATAAGTCGGCTCTCCTGGGCCTGAGCCAAGGGGTAGATTTAGATAGTTATTCTTGGCCAGAAGAGGGCCAAGGCTTCCATTCCTTGCTAAAGGCCTGCTGCAGGGAGTAGGGAGAAGAGGGCTAGGAGCTAGAAGAGAAACTGCATTCTGCTGCTTAAGTCAGCTTGCTCTGAGCTGTCAGAGATCCGTAGCTCCTGACACGTGGCTGATACACTGTTCTGGGCAGAACAGAAAGCCTTTAACAATGTGAATGGTTCCTGCTGCTCCCACCTCACCAGCATGATGATAAAACCACTTTGAGCTCTGTGTTTGGCCTGGGCTTGCCACTCGGCCTTAAGGAGCTTGAGAAAAGGCCTGCTGCACTCTCCTGGCCATTAGGAAGGGGAAGGCTAAGGCTGGATTGCACTGGGCTGGGTTTCCCAGAGCTGAGTCTTGGGGAGGGGGGGGTAGGTATGTAAAAAGTTTTACAGGGGCTGCAGATCTTGGCTCTTTTTCTGCCCACCAGTCAGACCAGGTTTTGCCTCCTGTCCTGCATTTGAGCCTGTTTCTGAGCTCATTTCTTTGAATGTTAGTGGCTGTCAGAGCTTGTGGCTTTCTCTGGCCAGTGGTGTTCAACTGGGGACGATTTGGCCCATCCAGGGGATAGATGGCCATGTCTAGAGACAGTATTGGTTGTCACAACTGGAAGAGGTGCCATTGGTGGGGAGAAGCCAGGGATGCTGCAAAACTTACTAAAAAGCACAGGACGGCCCCCGGAGGTCAGATGGATCTGGCTGCACACGTCTGTGGTGCCAGAGCTGCTCTCTGCTCAGCTGCCTCGCTGGGTCTGCTTTGAGAGAGACTAGAATTATCTGAGCACGGGAGCTGTGAGCATTCCTTACCTTACAGTGCCTCAGTTCTTAGATTCTCCCAGTGCCACTGGGAACTTTGCCTTTTTTCTGCTTCCTCTGTCCTTTTCCTTCAAATGGGCTTCAGTCTCGGCACGGTGGTCTGAAGAAGTATGTCTCCCAGCTTCCTCTTCCGTCCTTCTGCCCTGATGCAGCTCCCCAGGGGGTGGGATGTGTAACTGGGCTTGCTCCTGGGAACTCTGCAGGTGAAGCTCCGTTCCTCTTCCTGTTGGGAGCTCTCCTGGGATGGGGTGGGAAGTTTGGATATGGTTGGATGGGTTGGGGCAGAATGGGATGAGACTTTGACCCTGCTTTCTTCCATTTCTTGGCCTTCATGAAGGTTGTGCTGTCCCTGACCCCAGGCCTTCTCTGCTCTCTTTGGGGGTTGGGGTGGGTCAGCATTAGGGCTCTAGGCTGGGTGTGGGGGAAGGGAGGATTATTACGTGTCTAGAACAACATTTCCTCAGCAACTCAGGGATAAAAATACCCAGGTCCAGAGCATGTGACAGGCACTGCTGGAGCTGGTATTCTCCCCCCCGGGTGGCAGCACGCCCCCGCTGCCAGGTCGGTTCGATGGGCAGCCCTAGCCCAGGCCCTTGTCGGGGATAGGATTCCCCTGGAGGCTGGCACTCTGCCCAGAGCAGGGGGTGGCTTGTGTACAACTCTCTCCCGGCGAGGAGCATTCTGTGACCAAGGGGAACATACTGTCCCTCACCTGACCTTAGGCCCGAGGGGTGCAGCAGTGAGGTTGGACGTTGGAACTGTGCTCCCGATTCTGTGGGTGGCGTTTTCCTGGTGTTAGAGATGGGGACCAGGGGTCCGGGGGGAGAAGCTCTTGAACGAAGCTGGAGTGAAGAGGGAGCGTGGCGCACGTGTCCGGCTCTTTCAGGGTTGGCCTTCAGGCCCGAGGCTCCCTTCTGCCTGGGGCGAGGCCTGGCCGGCACTCCTTCCTCTCCTCTGGCCTGGGGTCCCTGGCTCTCAGCAGGCCCTGCCTCAGCTTGCGATCCTTGGGCTTCAGGACGAGCGGCCGCAGCCCTGCTGAGGAACAGGAAAACTCCTTCCACTTCCAGGGAAGAACTAGATTCCCTGAGAATCTGCGGGAGTGGTTTCTGCCCAGTCCTGAGTGGGCTGGGGAAGCAGGATGCGACAGGAGGGAGAGTGGCACCCCCCCCCCCCCAGGGCTCTCTCACTGCGCCACCCCGGCTGGCTGACTGGGCTGGGTGGGGCTGCCCGCCCCTGGGTGCGTCTCCTTGAGGAGACGGAGGCGGCCCAGGGATGGGCTGGTTCCTTGCGGCAGCTTCTCCAGCTGCCCTGGTGCAGAGATTGGCTCCCGGCTGCAGCTAGGTAACAGGCGGTGGGAGGGGATTGGCTCCTTCCGCATCTCCAGCGGAGACTTGGGGGAGGAGATTGGCTCTCGTCGCAGCCTAGGTAACGACAGTGGGAGGGGATTGGCTCTTTCCGCAGCCCAGCTGCTGACCTGGGGGAGGGGATTGGCTCTCCGCAGCCTCAGCAGTGACCTGCGGGGTGGGAGGGGGAGGGGATTGGCTCCTTGCTGCAGCCTAGGTAACAAGTTTGGGGGGCGTGGGGAGGGGGAGAGAGGGAGGAGCGGGAGGCTAGGCCCTGGAGGGAGCTGGCTCTCCTCTGCAGCTTGAGCACGGAGCATGGGGTGGGAGTCCCATCTCACTGCAGCCTCTGCGGTGAGCTCAGGGTGGGGGCTGCCGGGTGCCTGAGTGGAACTGGGGTTGTGAGGTGGGAGGGGGCTGCTCGAGGATGGAGGAAGGGGGCTGGGCTGGGCCGCCCAGGCAGCAGCACGGGCGGGGCACCCTCCTCGGGCCCCTCGGAGCTAGCAAGGGGCCACCCTTCCAGCCTGGTGTGCTCCCTGCAAGCCAAGAGCTCCTTGCAGCCCCCTGCCCGGCTTCCCGGCACCAGCTGCCCTGGGGCTCTTCTCGCAGACCATGACCCGCCTGGACCGCAGCTCTCACAGTGGTGGGGGCCATGCCAAAGGGAGCCGGCCCCTTAACTCTTTGCTGGCTGGGCACCGGGTGGCCCAGCCCCCCTCTGCTCCTGGGTCCAGGGCTTCTGTTCAGGTTGGTGTATGTGGGGAGACTGAAGGGAGAGGTACACCTGGGAGGTCTTGGGATTTGGGAGGGTTACGGTGGGAAAGGGGTACCTGGTCAGGGCTGGGGAGGTGGGTCTCATGTAAGGATATTGCTTTCTGGAAAGCGCTTTTTGAACCTCTGAATGGAAGGCAAGAGTTCAGGGTTTCTTCAGCCACAGGGGGATGGCATGTGTAGGAAGCCCAAATGGCTCCTATTTATTGGGGTTCTATGCTCGTGGCTCTGGGGGTGGCAGTCGGTGCAGGAACTGATCAGGAGCCACCAGGGTAGAGTGGGAAGGAGGAATTTTGGTCCCTGAGGTGGCAGTTGTGGCTGAGCGGTGATGGGGCCCATGTCCTTGAGTGGGTTGACTGACGGAGCGCCAGTGAGTCCTGGGGTGTGGTGAGGAAGGGAGTGAGAGTGCTGGCGTGAGGGGACACCAGGGCCTTGGCAGGGGTGGGGTGCCCAGTGAGGATCATCTGACTGCCTGCGGCTCTCCTGGGACAGAGGCAGCCTGCTAGGATCAGCTGAGAGTGGGAATTCTGGCAGGGATGGACCTTGAGGTGAGCCTGGGCTTTGGGTGTCCGGCCTTACTCTTGGCCTCAGCCAGGGAGGGGGACCGGCTCTAGGCAGGGCTGGAGGCAGCCCGTCAGTTGCCATCGGGTGCAGCAGGTGGTTGCAAATGCAGGGATTTTCCTCTCTGGCCCACCCCACCCCTTTATGCAAATGAAATGGCACCAGAGGCTGATGCAAGCCTGGCCACCACGAAGCAATTCTGCATGACAGTTCGCCCTTGCCTGGCCTGGCCAGCATCCTACAAACCCAAGTTTGAAGGGATTCTCATTCCCAGAATGAGAAGTGTCTCCTGCTTCCCCCTTCTTTCTTGTGTAGCGGTGAGGTGGCCCTGCCTTTTGGCCTGGCTGTGTCTCTGGTCCTAAGCCCACAGGCTTGTATGGGGTTGATTATGCTGGTAATTTTTGCTAGCTCTTGTTTTTGTTTTGTTTTGTTTTGTTTTTTTATTTTTTGGAGGCTGGTATCTGGAAATGGATGAATGAAGCCTTGTTGGTATGGAGGAGACAGAGGCTGGGAGAGCTGCCTCCCACTCCCAGGACTAATTGGAGTGACGCTAGGAAAGGCCCCTGGATCTGAGAGCTAAAGTCACGGTGATCTGTCTTTCAGGACATAGATCTGATTGACATCCTTTGGCGACAGGATATTGACCTGGGGGCTGGGCGTGAGATTTTTGACTATAGTCATCGCCAGAAGGAGCAGGATGTGGATAAGGACCTGCGAGATGGAGCGGAGCAGGACGACACCTGGTCAGGCGAGGGTGCAGAAGCTCTGGCGCGAAACCTGCTAGTGGATGGAGAAACTGGGGAGAGCTTCCCTGCACAGGTACCCCCATCTCTGCCCACTTCCAGAAACTTCTCCTTAGAGAAGGCCGCTTCTGTCTGTGGGATGAACCCGAATGTATCTTTTGGGTTGGGGTCTCTTAAGTCACTTGGGCTGAGGAACGGGGAGTGGATGAGCAACAGAAGCAGAGGGGCCAGGCCTTGGTAACGAACAGCACAGAGGAGGCAAGGCATCTAGCAGCTTCCTGTTTGCGTCAGGACTCTTCCACTTTCCCTCTGCTCTTTCCTGGAGGTTGGGACGCAGGGCCAGCCATCAGCCCGGGCACAGAGGGAGAGTGTGGGCCTGTAGCCCTTGCCGCCCTCCTTCAGCTTCCCCCTTGGAAGGGCTGGGGAAGAGGCTTTGGCCCGCAGGCAGCCAAGGCCCAGGTCAGTCAGACTTACGGTTGCTGTTGCCACAGGTGCCTGGTGGGGAGGACCAGACGGCCCTGTCCCTGGAAGAGTGCCTTAGGCTGCTGGAGGCCACCTGCCCCTTTGGGGAGAATGCTGAGGTGAGCAGGACTCCAGGGAGAGCCCACCAAGCCAGCAGGGCAGCCTGCACGCCGTGGGCCCCCGTGCGGCTGCCCAAGGGGCCAGCACCCGGTGTGGCCTGCTCCTGGCTGCGGGGCTGAATTCAGAGGAAGGAAGAGACAGAACCTCAGCTGGCAGTCTCTGGGGGGAATGCGACGGTGGTCTTGCCTCCCCCCGTTAAAGCCTCTTGTGTTTTGCCCTAGTTTCCAGCAGACGTTTCCAGCATAACAGAAGCAGTGCCTAGTGAGAGTGAGCCCCCAGGTCTTCAGAACCACCTCTTGTCTCCTCTCCTGACGGGGACGGAGTCGCCATTCGATCTGGAGCAGCAGTGGCAAGACCTCATGTCCATCATGGAAATGCAGGTAGGATTAGCCAGAGCAGGACCCGGCGTTCTCGGACCGGGGGTGGGGGTGGGGGTGTTCGCATTCGCTGCTTTTTCCCCGCTGGGAAGAGAACGGAGCACTTCTCTGATCCATAGGAAAGTGGGGACACAGAGGCCATTGTCCGGGTGTCTCCTTGGGGTAGGGGGTGCAGTCAGCAGTGGGGTTTGGGTTAGAAGCCCAGGGCTAAGCCTTCTAAAACAGGACTGTCCCCTAGGTATGCCTTCTTCCTTCCCTTTAGGTAGATACTCAGTTGACCAAATGCTCCAGCTTTAGCACCGGCCATTCGTGCGGGGCGTTGGCAGCCCCGGCGCCAGCCCCCCTGCCCCTTACAGTCACCTAGTCCGCCCTTTGTTATTTTAAAGGTGAGGAAATTGGAGCTCAGAGAGGTTAAGTGCTGTGCCCTTGGTCACACAGCAAAGTGGTACAGCTAGGTTTTCTCCCTGCAAGGCTGGGTGTTCCTTTCGCTGTGCAGATTTTACACTGAGGAGAGGTAGCCCTTGTTGGGTGTTTCCTTTTTTTCCTTTCCCTCCAAGGTGGGGGAGTCTGTCCAAACACAGCTGGGAACTGGTCAGCCCTGCATTGGGGTGGGGTCTACAGGGAGGACCCATCTCTGCCAGGCCTGGTAGGTCTGGTGGATCGAGCAGGGCCAGGAGTGGACCCTGGACTCTGGATTCCAGTCTCTTGCCTTTCCACCCGCTCAGCTGTGCCTGTGTTGGGTGCCTGTTGGCGGGAGCCCCCCGCCAGCCTCGGGGAGGGAGTCTGCTCAGAGTGAACGGTGACGCTCTTCTCCCCTGCCAGGCCATGGAGGTGAACACTTCAACGAGTGAGATCCTGTACAGTGCCCCTCCTGGAGACCCCCTGAGCACCAACTACAGCCTTGCCCCCAACACTCCCATCAATCAGAATGTCAGCCTGCATCAGGCGTCCCTGGGGGGCTGCAGCCAGGACTTCTCACTCTTCAGTCCCGAGGTGGAGAGCCTCCCTGTGGCCAGCAGCTCCACGCTGCTCCCGCTGGTCCCCAGCAATTCCACCAGCCTCCACTCCACCTTTGGCTCCACCAACCTGGCGGGCCTCTTCTTTCCACCCCAGCTCAATGGCTCGGCCAACGACACGGCAGGCCCTGAGCTGCCCGACCCACTGGGGGGCCTGTTAGACGAAGCCATGCTGGACGAGATCAGCCTGATGGACCTGGCCATCGAAGAGGGCTTCAACCCCGTGCAGGCCTCCCAGCTTGAAGAGGAGTTTGACTCGGACTCAGGCCTCTCCTTGGACTCCAGCCATAGCCCTTCCTCTCTGAGCAGCTCCGAAGGCAGCTCTTCTTCCTCCTCGTCCTCCTCCTCGTCCTCCTCCTCGTCGTCCTCTTCCTCTGCTTCCTCTTCAGCTTCTTCCTCCTTTTCTGAGGAAGGTGCTGTTGGCTACAGCTCTGACTCGGAGACCCTGGATCTGGAAGAGGCCGAGGGCGCTGTGGGTTACCAGCCCGAGTATTCCAAGTTCTGCCGCATGAGCTACCAGGATCCGTCCCAGCTCTCCTGCCTGCCCTACTTAGAGCACGTGGGCCACAACCACACATACAACATGGCGCCCAGTGCTCTCGACTCTGCTGACCTGCCACCGCCCAGCACCCTCAAGAAAGGCAGCAAGGAGAAGCAGGCCGACTTCCTAGACAAGCAGATGAGCCGGGATGAGCATCGAGCCCGAGCCATGAAGATCCCCTTCACCAATGACAAAATCATCAACCTGCCAGTGGAGGAGTTCAATGAGCTGCTGTCCAAATACCAGCTGAGCGAGGCCCAGCTGAGCCTCATCCGCGACATCCGGCGCCGGGGCAAGAACAAGATGGCGGCGCAGAACTGCCGCAAGCGCAAGCTGGACACCATCCTGAACCTGGAGCGGGACGTGGAGGACCTGCAGCGCGATAAAGCCCGGCTGCTGCGGGAGAAGGTGGAGTTCCTCCGGTCCCTGCGGCAGATGAAGCAGAAGGTCCAGAGCCTGTACCAGGAGGTGTTTGGGCGGCTGCGGGATGAGAATGGGCGACCCTACTCGCCCAGTCAGTACGCACTCCAGTATGCCGGGGATGGTAGTGTCCTCCTCATCCCCCGCACCCTGGCCGACCAGCAGGCCCGGCGACAGGAGAGGAAGCCAAAGGACCGAAGAAAGTGAGCCTGGGGAGGAAAGGGGGGTTGACGCTCACCGGGATGGAAACTGGAGAAGGGCTGGGCCTGGACCTGGACCTACAGTGGGGACTTGAATGCCTTCTTATCCAATAGATCTTCTCAGATGGGATGAACTGCGGGTCAGTGGACAGGAAGAGGAGGGCGCAGGCGCTGTCTGGCTCAGCTTCCCCCCGTGGGGGGGTGGCGGAAGCAGCCAGACCGTTTGGGTGGACAGGGTCCTCACCCCTACTGTTTCCTCTGAGAGAAGGGGTGGTGCTGGAGGCCGACCAAGGGTAAAGAGGGGGGATCTAGTGAGAGGAAAGTCGTAGAAAGTCTCATTCCTGGAAGCAAGTAAGGAACGAACGAAGGAAGGAAGGAAGGAAGAGGGATAAAAAAAACCCAAAAAAATCAAAGCGGGAAGAAAATCAAAGGGCAGGTTAAGGTTGGCTCTGGCCAGGATACCAGGCGGCAGGTTTCAGGTGGGACTAGGCCCTAGGCACGAGTAAACCCCACTTCACCCCCGGGGAGGGTGGAACACAAGGTGGGATCTGGGAGGGGCTTCGTGGGTCTTTCAGCTCCTGCCCTGTGGCAGCCCTGAGAGGGGAGCTCTTGGATGTGTCCTGTGATGTTCTCCTTCGGACCGGAGCCACTGGGACCCGACACTGGCTTGGGGGGTTAGGGTCAAAAAAGGAGAGGGGACAGGAAAGGGTCACGAGGCCCCTGTGCCGTGTTGCAGCAGCCCCAACACCAAGCATGTCCCTCACTGCCCGGCCATTCCATCTCTCTCTGTGCCCGGTCCCCACCCCCCCCAGCTGAGGTCCCCACGTTTCCATCAGAGTCTGCATGCGAATGCTGTTCTCTTCCCGCCCCGTGTGCCCCCGCCCCTCCCCTCCCCGCTGCCTGAGCTCTGCTGCAGCTGGGGTGCCGGCTGCGCCCCCAGTGCTGAGCCTGCGGCCTCGGGGGGCTGCTCTGAGGCAGGGCGTGTGGAGAAGCCAGGCAGTATTCAGCACAACACTGGGGAGTGACCCTTCCCTCAGGCCTCCCCTGCCAACCACTGGGCATGTCACTGGAGGACAAAACCACAAAACCCAGCAACAAAAACAAACTAGTCCTTTTAGAATTTCTTGCGCTTTGATTTTTTTAGGGCTTGAGCCCTGTTTCACTTATAGGGTCTAGAATGCTTGTGTTGAGTAAAAAGGAGATACCCCAATATTCAAAGCTGCTAAATGTTCTCTTTGCCATAAAGACTCCGTGTAACTGTGTGAACACTTGGGATTTTTCTCCTCTGTCCCGAGGTCTGTCTTTGCCTTTTTCTTTTTCTTTTTTTTGGGGGGGGTGGGGTTTCTTTCTAGGAGAATGAGAAGTGCATGTAATGAGGGCTTGAGAGCACCTACCCCCCCAGGCTCTCGGCCACAGGCTGCTTCTCTACACCCCCAGTTTAGCAAAGGCCCCAAGCAGGAGGACTGCCTGGGGGAGGCAGAGAGGGGAGCGCCAAGGTGGCCAGATGGTTCCAGGACCACAGTGTCTTTATTTTTAACTGTTTGCCACTGCTGCCCCCACCCCTGCCTGGCTCGGGAGTACAGTCAGCCCAGACTAGCAGGGGTGAGTTGTGGGGAGAGATGGACCGATTCTCCTCCCCACTGGGGGGCGTTCTGACTGAGCAGTAGGGATAGAAGGCACGAGCCTGGGAAGTGCTTTTATAAATTATTTTCCTTGTAGATTTTATTTTTAATTTATCTCTGACCTGCCAGGGAGAGGAGAGAGAAAGAGAGATGCTGTGAGCACATGACAAAATAAAATAAAATAAAATGGATGATTCATTCTCAAGTGCAGTTTTTCCCTACTTTTAATTTAAATTGAGTAAAAGACCCAGGAAGGGAGGACTGGCCATCGTGTGGCTAAGCCAGAGCTCACTTGGGAAGGTGGATGGAGAAAGGGGAGGTTGACAGTGAGGAATTTAGAAAGACAAAAGTCTTAAGTACCGTATTAAACCGTCCAAGCAGGTGTTGGTACCTCTTCACAGGGTTCGCTAGTTGAGTCCTGAGAGGAAGGATTCAGAATCCTTTTTGGCCTTTCTCATAGGACTGGGCTAGGTGGAGGTGCTGTCCCTTGGCCCAGCTCCTTGTCTGTGCACCTCTGAGAGAGTGCATTTTTTTTTTTTTAAGATTTTATTTATTTTTTTGACCGAGACATAGCGAGAGCAGGAACACAAGCAGGGGGAGTGGGAGAGGGAGAAGCAGGCTTCTGGTCGAGCAGGGAGCCCGATGCGGGGCTCGATCCCAGGACCCTGGGATCATGACCTGAGCCGAAGGCAGACGCTTAACGACTGAGCCACCCAGGCGCCCTGAAAGAGTGCATTTTTAATCTTGAGCGTGCTGTCCTTTCTCCGGTGGCCCCACCTGCCAAAGGGCTGCAGAGCATCGGAGAGTAAGCCCGAGCAGTGACCGGGACTAGAAACCCGAGAAATCCACGAGACTGACACATGCCCGGTACTTGAGTGTAAGAGCAGGACCGCAGAACTAGAGAAGCAAGAAGCCAGACTCCGGGGCTTAAGGCCTCAGAAAGCCTCCCAGCTGAGGTGAACAGAATCTGTTCTCCCTCCGAAAACCTGCTTTAATATCAAGCCTACGAAGAGCTGGAGGCTTCCAGGTGCTGGGTGCTTGCTGGCGCCGCCACCCCAGGCTGGGGTAGGTGTCTAGCAAATGCTAAGGAATGAATGCTCACCCGGCAGCCTGTGAAATTACTGGACGAGGTTTAGGACCAGAAGCAGTTGATCCCCACAATGGAACCTCCCGTGTTACCACTGTGTGACCTGGCTTAGCCCCATAGTCCTACTGGAGTACCCCAAGGGATGGAATAGAATTCATAACATCAATTTATTTGTTTCAGTTTACACTTTTTTTTTTTTTTTAACCCCCATCTAGTTGGAAAGTGTCATCAGATGAGCTCTTTCCTAATTAGGAATTAGCTATGTCCGTAAGCCAGATAAAAGCAAGATTCTTGAAAAACGAGTAAGTTTGAAAAACTTTAATTCATGCTGATAAAAAATACAAACATATAGAAGAATAGATTATGACAGGTAAAAGTCATGTTTTTGTATCCCTTCTAGAAATATGTGTATGTATTTTTAAGTACACAATTAGGCTGTAACTTTAATCTTGCTTTGCAATTTTAACCTAACATATTTAAATGTTTTTTAAGAGTAAAAAAAAAAATCCTCCCTCACCCTGTTAGTGCTGCCCCTGCTCTGAGAAAGTACATTTTTGTCACCCGTCCCCCGTGCCCCCTTATGGAGAGACGTACAGTTGTCTAGGATCCCGCTGATTAGCTGGGGCTTTGGGCCAAGTTGGTCAGCACCGGCTGTGGGGTTGACCTCTTTTTGCTGCTGGCAGGTGGAGTGGGTGCTCCAGCTTCAAGGCTTTTTCTGGCAGGAAGAAGATCCGAGGACTCGAGTAAAGCCCGTCAAAGAGCCGCTACACCTCAGACAAGTGAGAAGAGGTCCTAGACTCGGCAGGGAGATGAGCAGGCCTCAGGCTTAACTGAGCACCAGACTTCAAGGTGACCTGCTTGGGTGGGGGCGGAAGCCTGGCTTTGTCTTGACTTCAGCAGCAGTAGGCTCCCTTCAAGCCGATTTCTCCCCACGTCCTAATTCACATTAGCATTTGGAAGTAGACCCCTTGTTCCAAACTCTGCCCTGCACAGATCTCACCAGTGAGGCTGGGCTCGTTATTTCAGTGTCCATAAAAATGGAAGAAATCCCGAACTAAGGGGAGATGTAGTGAGCTTGAGAATGCTCAGTGTCACCAAGACCTGGCCTCTAATGGCGGACTCCAGCCCCGACCAGGGAAAGCTGAACAGCAGCAGCCAGCCAGCGAATGGGGAGTACTTTCCATGGAGCCCTGCGTTCCTCAGGCAGCCCTCGGCCCTCGTACAACCCCAGCTAGGCCGGACTTTGCTGCTTCTCAGGTTTGTTTGGCAAAAGCTGGAAAAACAAGTGCCTCGTAGGAAAAAAACCGTCCCCACCACCTTCACGTCTCCTGCCTCACCCAGGAGGCACTGACCTAGACCTACAGCTTCAGCTCCAGCTAACTTGTTTTATGGCGCTACCAGCAAGAAGTCCATTCCATCACTGACGCTGTCCACGGACAATCACAGGCACCAGACTGGTGGCTGCCTCTCTGGAAGTCATTTTCCCAACCAGGTGTAGAAATGGTCTAGCAAAACCCACGTGCTTCATAATCATGAGTGGTTAAGCCTTGTTATCACTGCTCCATCTGGGACATGAAAGGGACTCAGAGACCTTCAATTTGCCATTCTGTTAGCCTAACAAGAACCTTTCACCTTTCACTTTTCCCACAGAAGCCAGCCATCCTCCTTGCCTCTGGTTCTGAACTTCGTAGTGCAGAACGTATGTGTGGGGGAACTTGGTATATACATGGAACTTAGCACATGATTTGAGTTCTACTCCTTGTTCTGTCAAGGACTTTTGAAAGTTCATGTCAGCCTCGATTAGTTGAGACACAGAATCCAGTGCACAGATTGTCTGGAGGAGTTTGGGATCCCACTAAAGAGGTGTGTTCTTAAAGCTGGTTCTTTTCCAGTCTTAACTGCAGAATGGATAGGCTGCATAGTATTTGTTACTTAATTCCAGATGCCATCTCAACCAAGGAAACAAAACCTAGTTTATACTTGGGGGAGGCAGGGAAAAGGCTAAGGAGTTGGTGCTCTGCCTTTTGTTTTAAACACGAATTTAATCAGGCTAATTCAGTTGTCTTAATCCTTCCAGTTCTCAGCTAGGAGCTGAAGCAGTAATTTAAACAATGAGCCAGTGCCCCACAGCTGGGCCCCAAAGTTGCCCAGTCTGACCTGAGGCTATGCAAACAATAAATGGCAGGATTGGTCAAAGTCAACTAGGATTTAAAAATCCTTATGGGGGGGTGCCTGGGTGGCTCAGTTGGTTAAGCGTCTGCCTTCGGCTCAGGTCATGATCCTGGAGTCCTGGGATCGAGTCCCGCATCGGGCTCCCTGCTTGGCGGGGAGTCTGCTTCTCCCTCTGACCTTCTCCCCTCTCTCATGCTCTCTTTCTCTCATAAATAAAAAAATCTTAAAAAAAAAAAATCCTTGTGGGGTAAACAGTGGCTCTGGTATTACCACAAACCACCAAGGTTACAATGCAGATCCAGATACGCTATTGAGTATTTTAACACAAGCTATTTAATGTAAGCAACAACTACAGAACCAAATCATCAGTATATATCGTAAACATGATGTTTCAGCCTTGCCTCATAGTCCTGCTGCCTCACTGGCCTAAGGCTGGGGGCGGGGGGGGGGGGGGGAGCCTTAGCAAACAGAATACTTGCTCTACCTGCCCCCCATACAGCAGGACCAATTATGTTTTTCATCCCAGTGCAAGACGGTTTTATTTTGGATTTCATTTGCTTTCAATATTCAGCCATTTATTCAGTGGGAAGCTCCCAAGGCCAAGGTCAATTAAAAGTCATCCACAGAAGAGAGCTGAGCAACTGTGAACACATTAGTTAGAAGAGCAGTAACTTCTAAAGAAAACCTCAATGCTGGACAGTCAAACCAACGTGATAGGCAGATCACAGATTGAGGATTGTCCCCGGAATCTTTAAGCTCCACCATCACCAAGCTTCCTTAGCCACACACCACAACACCCAGATGCGTCTGCCCAGAGTGGTTCCTACTGCTGAAAAGCAAGATGAAGCCGAGATGCCTTCCTTTACTAAAGCTGAATGCTGGCCTGGTATTGATATTTGTATTTCAGTTGTATGCTAGAGGAGGGGAAGCATTGAGCCTGGACTTAGTTCAGTCCTATCAGCTCTAAATTTTAAACAAGATCTTTTTATCCTCACAAACGACCCAACTTGTAAACCAGATTAATACTAGTATCACAGAAACTGATCGGGTTAATTTGATCTCAAACAGAACCCGGGTCCATTCATAGTTTAGTATCTGGAGCCCCTGTAGAAAATTTGGATTTCAGAGTTCCAGTTCCACCAAATTATTTTGGAGTAGCAGTTTCCTCTCATTTTCCCTTACTCTGTGATGGAAATAGTGACTAGAACACATTCCACTGTCACAGGCCATAAAGATGTCCTGAGCATACGTGGCCAAACACCAAATGGCCATGTTAAAATCAAATTGAGCTGAGTTGGAATGAGTTCTAGAATATAAGATTGTATCTGAAAATAAATACTTAAAAACTCAACTATTAAAAACAGTTGTCCAAACTTTCAAATCACACTGAAGAGCAGAAATAATTATTCCTGAGCACTGTCGGCTGACAGATTGCCTCTGTGGTCATTTGCTGTACTAACTTGAAACTCAACTGAAGACAGTGGAGGACACCTCAGATGGTGACTGGTCCCCAGATTAGGAAGCTCTTCTGAAATAGCAACTAAGGTGATCCCGTCTCCTCTTCAACTCCGGCTGAGGAGTCTCCGATGACGCAGCTCCACAGACGCCATCCAGCCCGCCTTTGTGCTGCCGGAAGAAATGCTCTCCGAACACCTTCTAAGACAGATGGAAGCTTTGTTGTGCCTGTGTAGCTTTTATTTCCAGCATTTCTGCATCTGTGGCTTCAACAAGCACTTGAGAAAATTTTATACCGAAACCCTGCATCTAGACACGTGACAGTTGGCTTTCAAACGTAACGAAATTGTGAAAATCTATCCTTACTTCAATTTTCATGCATTATCAATTTCAGCATCTTCCTGGGGGGAAGAATGAGAGGGTTTTACAAGGGTTCAGGAATGCCAGAAATGGCAATTAAGTAGGTTCCAAAGGTTGAGACAAAAGCTTAATAGCACTCCATTCTGGACACACACCAAGGCTGAAGGCTAATTTCAGTGCATCTAATGAGGCAGAACAGAACCAGAACGTCTCTGCCCACCACCCCCCAACTCATTCAACGAGCAGCTCCGCTGCCAACCCCAAGGACACACCCAGACCTCCACGCAGAAAGGCGTCCTCCCGGGCTCCGCTTTACCTCATCGCCCCAAACTCCTAGGAGGCTCGCTCTTTTTTTTCTTTTTTTAAGATTTTGTTTTTAGGTAATCTCCACACCCAACGTAGGGCTCGAACTCACAACCCTGAGATCAAGAATTGCATGCTCTACTGACTGAGCCAGCCAGATGCCCCAAAGAGGCTTTTTTTTTTTTTTTAAGATTTTATTTATTTATTTGACAGAGAGAGACATAGCGAGAGAGGGAACACAAGCAAGGGGAATCGGAGAGGGAGAAGCAGGCTCCCCGCTGAGCAGGGAGCCCGATGCGGGACTCGATCCCAGGACCCCAGGAACATGACCTGAGCCGAAGGCAGATGCTCAACGACTGAGCCATCAGGAGTTTAAGTCCCACCTTGTAGAGATTACTGAAATAAGTAAGTGTTTTTAAAGATTTTATTTATTTATCTGCCAGAGAGAGTGAGAGAGAGAGCGCGCACAAGCAGGGGGGAGCGGCAGGCAGAGGGAGAAGCAGGCTCTCTGCTGAGCAAGGAGCCCGATGTGGGACTCCATCCCAGGACCCTGGGATCATGACCTGAGCCGAAGGCAGACGTTTAACGACTGAGCCACCCAGGCGCCCCCCAAAGAGGCTTTTTGAAAAAAATATTTATGCATCAGTTTATTTGGAGCAAATGCTTTGTACTATTGAGTAAAGCTGATTTGATCTCAGTGGAAATCCCATTTTCCCTTTTAATAACAAGAACCTAGTTCCATTTTGGCTCTCGAATTATAGGCAGAAAATGATGTTAAGAAAGTGGGTAACATTTTAACTCAGTGATCAAACACGAGGCCAATTCCTGAAAATTTTAGAGTTGACTATTTAGCTAAGGTGACACAAGTCTACAAACTACATGAGCCAAGGGGCGCCTAGGTGGCTCAGTAGTTAAGCTTTTGCCTTTGGCTCAGGTCATGGTCCCAGGGTCCTGGGATCGAGCCCCGCGTCGGGCTTCCTGCTCCCACTCCCCTTGCTTGTGTTCCCTCTCTGGCTGTCTCTCTCTCTGTCAAAGAAATAAATAAAATCTTAAAAAATATATATATATATACATGAGCCACGAACTAAACCTAACTCAAAACCCATGTTTCCAAACATATCATAGTCTGAAAGTGCAAGCAGGTCAGAGTGCTAAATAAACTTCGAGCAACATGAAGACAATGATGTGACAAGCTTTACAACCTCTGGAGTAATTATAAATGTTCAATAAATATTTACTAAATAAATAATGATGAAACCACTCAAAGATTCAGGCCAGACATTAGATTTTCAAGCCTACAGGGTTCAAGAAATTAAACCATCAAACTGTGGAAGCTGTTTCCTTATAGGCTGAACCTATAAGGTAATGAAAGTCAGGGAGGGTTTTTGGTAATGCTTAATCAAGACAGAAATCCAAGATTATAAATCTATAGTTTTATTAAGACAAAAACTGACAATGTGGTATGAAGTTTACATTTAAACAAAGTTTCCACAGAAACCTAACACATGCCTAAAAAGATTTTACAATGGAGTTCTAGAATGCAGGTCTAGACGATGTCAAGAACTGATGGATCTCATGATTCAAGACAGCATTTTGGGTATTAGTTAATTCTTAGGATTAAAAAAATGTTTTGTTTTGTGTTTTAAAGTGAACCACTGCCCCAGTATGAAAGTTTAATCTTCTCCTGAGACCAGGGCTTTTGAAATCCTTCCACTCTTGAAGTGATTCAGTGAACTTGTGCTGTCAGTGACTGAACCCTGCCACCAAAGATTGATTTCAGAGTTCAAAGTTCAAATAACAGGCTCCAAGAGTTTTCCACCCTAAGAGCAGGGGCCTTTGTCTTTCTCTACTCGCCCACTTTCTATACTACCCTCTTCCCCTCCCCAAATACCTCAGCCAGTGGTGTGGATGGACAAGCTGATGTTTAAAACTTCATATTGGAAAAGAAAGGGTCTTCTTAACAATTTCAAGAATTAGCACCTCTAAGACAGAACAATCTGCCTATGTATACACTCCAATAAGACTTCCTCTTCAACCAGTTTCCATCCCCAAAATGGCAGCTTTGGTAACTTATTAACTGGCTTAGTCCTTTGTTGGGAACAGCATTAAGCTCAGGCAGGGAACACCTGGGCTTTTAAGTTTCGGGCATTCACAGCTTTTAAACAGTCTCTCACAGTCCTCATTTAGGTTGCCAATGACATCTTTTTGAAAAGATAAAATATTCTGGACACAGAACCGAATCACCACAAGTTTGTTCTTTCCATTGTTTCACCATTTTCCCAATCAGGTCCCAAATTTTAACAAAAATGATCCTACCCATCTCTGTTCCTTCCCTCCCCCAACCCTCCCACCCCCAAATGATACACCAGTAATAGCCAAAAACTACACACATGCTACGCTGTAAAAATGCAGAGTTAACACTATTGGGAAGAAGGCTGTGGGTTGTGGAGATGCGCTTTGAAGATCTACAGTATCTTTTGCTCTCCCACACACCCATTCTGCAAGTTCTGTCCTTCATGGAAGGCCCTTTGCCTTTCTCAGCAAAGTACAGAATGGGTTGCCTTGCAACACTTCTCTTCCTTCCCCTCCACTGGGATGGGTGTGCCAACTACACAGCATGGAAAGGCTTTAAAGCACTTGGGCTGCCGTAGGGCACAGAAACGATACTGACTCTTCAAAGGACATCTTCTCAAGCCACCTCTATGGTGTCAAGACAAGTAGAACTCCTTCCCTCCCCACTTGAAACCCACAGTCAGATGTGACAGGGGCAGGTACTCAGGAGAGTTAATTCTTGTCATCTTTTTTGTCATCATCCTCCGAGGGGTAAGAATGCCACGTCAGCCTTTCCTCATAGAAGGATATGACCACCTGTGGGCACTTGACATTGGCTTCCTTGGCAGGGACTAGGTCAGCCTCATCAGAATTTTTCCTGCAGAACAAAGCAGAGAGACCTTGAGACCAGGTGCTGGTGGTCTCCTAACTTGGATGACACAAGGGATAGGGCTTTAAAAGTACTAATTCCAGAAAAGTAGCCTAGGGAAGGGTGATAACATGGCCCAAGCAGCATTTTGTCAAGTGACATCCTCAGAGATCTTCTGTTGAAAATCCTCTCTGGGTATCTTTGTTAAAAGCGAAGTCACTTAACTCAGTCGATCACATCTGAACCTCTGGGCAAGGCCAGAAAAAAAAACATGACTCTCCGATTCTTAGAGGGCAGAAGAGAGGCTTCCCACACTCTTCCAAAAGCCATATCCCAGCTGCCAAAAGCCCATGGAGAGATCTTGGCTTTGTAATAGTATTTAATACCAGGTTGGACAGTAAGATTTAATACCAATAATAAGACTTAATACCACTGGCTCTAGCCAACACGGGTGGACACGTTCTCGCTGACTCGGAATTACACTGTTTAACATTACCAAGTGCCATGCTCACACAGATAGTCCACAACTCCCAGGTGCTTTGAAATGGTGCTTCAAAACTGGGAAGTAGAAAATAAGGGACTGTTACGTAATTTTCTGGATTTTTCTGGATTTTAAAATGGTCTCAGAATTTGAAAATCACATACATATTACAAGGGACTTAGGAGTAAGGTCACTGGGAATCTCCTGGATGGGAGCAGTAGCATTAGGGTAGGTAGCAGTTATGTGATGGGATCTCTGATGAGGCACCACCCCAAACTTCTAGAACTCAGCGACAGGTAAACCAAAGCCAGAGAGCCCAAAGAATCAGGGTTGACTAAGCTGGTAAGGTAGGTTTTTGAACAATGGACTGAAGAAAATGGGAGAGAAAAGGAGTATGATAGTATGGGAGCCTGAAGCAGGCTGCCCTTGTTGACAATAAAAACAACACTTTCTGAGGGAAGGTCATTCGGTCATTTCAGAGCAAAGAAATATTTGCTATTTTGGAAATAGACAAGTATCTCAACTCTCCAGGAGAATCACCTTAAAATGCACTTGGTTTTATAATCAACATCCAATCTTTTT